GAAGGAGAGCATTTCGAGTTGTCGTCGATGCCATGAGACGGTTCAGGAGCATGTAACTCGTGTCACGACGTTCATATAAGGAGCACGCACAAGAACCAGAGTCGGAGGATCCTGACAGGCAGCACAGGGACCATCCTTGTGGTATTGATCTAGTGCTGTCAACCTCCAAAACACGCGAGCCAGCCCCGATAGGGTCCTAGGCGGCGAGGCCGCATCTTATAATCCGCTTGCCGTGGACAGAGGTCGAGGTTCCAGGCCGCAATAGGCAGCAGCATTTGGGACATGAAAATAGTACTATATTAGCCCCGGTCATGTCGAAGGGCTTCGCTGCCATTTCTGGGACCCTGGTTTCGGCATCATGCGCGGCCTCAGGGTTGTGGGGGAGGGGTCATGTCAGCAGACGAGGAGACGAGGATGGGGGGGAGAGAGAGAAGGATGCGGTGACGCACTGGCAATGTCGACGGTGCCGTTGTTTGGCTTCGCGGCGGCGACGGCATCTGATGTTGCGCTAGGCGACATGATGGTAGTAGGTGGTGGTGGTGGCGGGGTAGAAACGGGGGTTTCAACGTCGGTAATTTGAGGAGCGTTGTGGAGGTGAAGAGTCAATTGTTGTATATGATTCTCTGGCGAGCACGAAGCAATTGACGATGCTGTATTGTTTGTTCTTATCAGATGCGGTCAAGTTTGTCAACAAACAGATAGCTGAGGGGAGGTGAGTGTCGAGATCCGGGCGTCGGCGCCCCCCACCGACCCCTCCTAGCGCCGTCTGCGTCACCGCTTCTGGCGAGCTAGGTCAGGTCCCTTTCTTGGGCCAGGAACGTGCCGAGTCATGTCGCCCACTCCAGAATCCAATCCCCATCAAGCGATTGCACACCACGTAGGCACCACGGCACGACCAATGATGGGTAGATTTTGATGAACTTGGTCTCAAATGAGAAGTGCTGGCCTTTGTTGTGTTGCAGAATCTTTGGATCAAAGGAAGTTCATCTGCATCCTAAGCAATGTCTTGCTTTGTTAGGTCAGGAGTCTGAATAGAATACCTAGCTAAGGTAGGTAGGCTGGGCTGGTTCTGTTTGTGCGTTATCAGCTGTAACATAAGTGTCTCTCCCATCACAAGAGCCGGTATAGCTCAGTGGTAGAGCGTTCCACTCGTATTCTGCGATATGGAAAGGTCCACGGTTCGATCCCGTGTAGCGGCATTCAGTCAGTCTGCAATGCGCCAGTTCTTTTTGCCTTTCCTACCTCTGAACTACCTTTGCGACTTTTCTTACTGTACATCTTTGGTCAATTGAACATTCTTATTCAATACAATCATCGCCTTGACTACACAGTCATCAAAGCTCTTAGCCCATGGCAATACAAAGGACTACATAGACTATTACAAACATAATAAGCAATTCTTGGACATGAGGAATATCTTCGGGTTCTATCTGCTTTGTACCGGTGCGCAGTGCAGTGCATGCTGGCTCCGAAGCTCAAGCAGCGCCCAAGGCCGGTGCTGTTCAGTCACATCGTACATCGTTCTTGCCATGACTGACAAACACAACGAGTTCCACCCTCCTCCAGCCTGAAGAGCCTCTGGGAAGCCCCGGTCCGTGGGGCCAGCTGGTCATTATTGCTTATCAGATTGATAACAAGAGGAATGCATAACCAGCCAATGCCGCGATGGACCCAAGAGTAAAGGATTCGTTCCAACCAGAGATCGCGGTTCGCTGCAGGGTCCCCTGATTGTAGACCTCATCGTTCCGCAAGAGGAGGCATCTTCATTGTGACCCCGATGCTGAATTTGACGAGTGAAATAAATATACAAGCTACAGTCTCTCTCCAATGGAACCTAGATGTTCAATCATTGGCGAGGAAGAGGGGAAAGAGCCCCTTCAACAATCAAGCTCTCTTATCTACGCATTGCGGATCCGTGGTCCTACCCTGTAAGCCCAAGATCGAACAACCGTTGACCTCGTGGTAAGTGCGACAAACGTTCAGAGCTAGGTCGGCCTTGCATTTACCGGCACAAACTCTGCCCTTAGCTATTGCTGCGATCATTTCAATCGCAACGGCATTCGCGTTGAACGGCCCAGATGCCAACCAGCCGCTCAACCTCTCAGCCCCAACCACTGTGACATGGCAGCATGACGGAACGGACCATACCTCATCATATCGACATCTTGAGCTCTCCTGGAGGCTCCAACTTGCAGG